GTTACAGGCTCGATCCCCAGTGGGGGACATGCAGGAGGCAGCCGATCAATGATTCTCTTTCTTCATTGATGTTTTATACCTCTCTCTCCCTCTGCCTTCCTCTCTGAAATCAATAAAAATATATTTAAAACTAAAAACAAGAAACAAGAACTGCATTTTAGAGGGGCCCCAGGGCTGTACCTGGGCTGTGAGGGGGTGGGGTGACCCCCGGGCTGGGAGAGGCGGGGCTGACCTCTGCCTGCCCTCTGTCTCCTGTCACCCGCAGAGTCAGCAGTGGCGGTGGATCGACGGGACCTCGTATTTGTTCAAAACCTGGTCCGGCAGGTCCATGGCTGGAAACAAGCACTGCGCTGAGATGAACGCCCACAGTGAGTTCTAAGGCTCCGCCCTCCCCGCCCCCTTATCTCTGGTTCCAAGCAAAGCAGCCAGAAAGCGCTGCTGAGCTCAGCACGGAGCCGCACGCACTCACATGGCTGTTCGCTCTCTTACAGACTTTTTAACTTGGAACAGCAAGGAATGCGACAAGCTCCAACACTTCCTCTGCAAGTACCGGCCGTAGAGCAGGAATCGGGGTCCCGCAGCCCCGGCCCAAAGCCCTCCCCCCTTCTTGCCCTGCCACCGTGTCTATGTCTGGTCATTGCCTCAGGAAGTAAACGTGATAACCATGCTGGTGAGGCTCTTACTGCACTGTTTTTATCGGGTTAGAGGCAGAGCCCTCAACATCGAAACAACAACGGCTTCCAGCTCGAAATGCTCACCCCACAATCGCTATCCATTACACTCGTCTTTCCTCCTCCCGCCTCCACGTGTCTCGGTGCAGACTAGGGGTGCACATCCCTCCTGATGGAAGAGCTGGGTGTCTGGCCACCAGGGAGACAGGTGTGAAGACGGGAGGAATCGCTAGTGAGCTCTGGGTCACAACTGACAGCCAGACCGTCTCAAGCAAACAAGAAAAAGTATTGGTTATGTCACTCCACCGTCCACAGGCAGATCTGGGCTTCAGGCATCGCTTGACCAAGGGCTCCACAAAGCCCCCAGGGTGGGGCTTTCTCTCCGTACCCTTTGACCTTGTTTTGCTGAGAATAAATTTCTATTATTCCACCCCATCTAGTTGCACAGTTGGCTACAGCAGCTCCGATCCTCACCTTGTCAGGAAAGAGAGTCACAGCCCTCAAACAAAAGCCTCCAAATTACAGCCTCTTCAGCCAAGAATCTGGAGTCACATGCTCCCTCTTAACTGATCACTATGGCCAAGAGGAGGGACTGGGATGGTTAACTTCGCTCAGGTAGCTCCCTGGAGCCCAGGGGTGTAGTCTGCTTCCCACAAAGGCCTCTGCTACAGATATGGTTCCCATCTAGGAGGCATGCCCCTCTGGGAAGGCACGGCCCATGGGCCGCGGGACCAGAGCAGGCTGCCCCCTTAGCGGTGTGCTTGGGGCAGTGCACCTGCTCACGGCCCTCCTGGGGCCCTGCTGGCTGAGAGCAGGTGAGGTGGTTCTCCACCTGGGGGCCAGGGGCCATCCTGGGGGAGCTCTGTCCTGAGGCCCCACAGCAGGACTTTAGACTCAAGTGTCTGCACCGAGACTGGAGAGGCACCTGATGCCAAAAAGAAAGCAACCAGGTAGATGCTGTTCCCCCAAGTGTGCTCACGGGCATAAAACTCCAGCCACCGCCTAAGGCAGTTTGTTATACTGGGAAGAGCAAAAGGCTTTGGAATTAGGCCTCTCCGACTGCCTCCAACGGGCTGTAGGAGGTGGAGCCTGATATCTCTGAGACCCTGTCTTTTTTCTCGGGAATCTAAGGGCTAAATTGGTGGAAACAGGTAGAGTTTGGAATGGGGCCTGACGTACATGCTTAACAAGTGCAGCTGTCCTCTCTGAGAGTGCCACAAGCTGTCATAATAGCTACTTACGACCGTGACACAAGCTGACACCCTCCACGGGGGAGTAGGACAGCAGCACAGGAGAAACTTGGGCTCCAGGGAGCTCTGTGCATGTGTCTCCTGGCCCATGAGGGAGCCCACAGGAAGCAATACAGACAGGATGGGAGGGAGGTGCATTCCGAGCTCGAATTCAAAAATCTAGCACACGTTTCCCTCAGACTTACTCCATGCGAAGTCATCATAGTCACTGCATGGCTGAAGGCAAAGGAGGGTAAGCTGAGGGCATAAAGATTAAGCCAGAAATCACACAGATGAAAATCTTTGTGATCTTGGGTTAGATGTCTTAGGATACAAAAAGCCAAAACCACAGAAGAAAAGAAATCATAAATTATCATCAACATGAAAAGCGTTTGCTCTTAAAATATACTGCTGAAAAGCTGAAAGACATGCCATGAAAAGGGAGGAAAAATATTTGTACAACATAGATCTGAGAAAGGACTTGCAATTCATTAAGAAGGCAACTTGATTATTTTTTAAATGGGCAAAAGAAGTGAACAGACACTTCACCAAAAAATACAGACGAATAGCCAATAAGCACATGAGTAGATATTCAACCTCACTCGTTAATTTAACTAGAGCACTGCTAATTAAAACCAAATGTGGCTATCCTAGGAATGCAGGATTCAGCACAAGAAAATCAACCAATCCGTGTATATTAATAGCATGAAGGAAAACCCTCACGTGGTTATCTCAGTTGGCTTTGTTTTAAGCATTCGGCAAAGTCTATCTTCCTTTTATAATTAAAAGCAATCTCAGCCGAAGCCGGTTTGGCTCAGTGGATAGAGCGTCGGCCTGCGGACTGAAAGGTCCCAAGTTCGATTCCGGCCAAGGGCATGTACCTGGGTTGCGGGCACATCCCCAGTGGGGGATGTGCAGGAGGCAGCTGATCAATGTCTCTCTCTCATCGATGTTTCTAACTCTCTATCTCTCTCCCTTCCTCTCTGTGAAAAATCAATAAAATATATTTAAAAAAAAAAAAAAAGCAATCCCAGAGCCCTGGCTGGCGGGGCTCGGTAGGCTGAGCGCCATCCTGTGCACCGAAGCTCTCCGGTTCATTTTTCTGACCCTGTTTACTCTGTAGGATTATTACCTGACTTTTCCTCTAGATCCTCCTCCCCGTAAGCAAACACAAGAGGAAATTTATTCTGCCTCTGCTCTGAGCCACAGCCAGGCTATTGCACCTCACCTGCAGGCATGATGATGCTGGTGTGATGACCTAAGGCTTGAAGCTAGCAAAGTCGCAGGCTGCCGAGTTCCTTCCTTTAAAAAAAAGTTATATATATATATATATATATTTCAGAGAAGAAGGGGGAGAGAGAGAGAAACACCAATGATGAGAGAGAATCATTAATTGGCTGCCTCCTGTACACCCCCATACTGGGAATTGAGCCCGCAATCCAGGCATGTGCCCTGACCAGGAATTGAGCCATGACCTCCTGGTTCATAGATCAACGCTCAGCCACTGAGCCACGCCAGCCGGACCCAAGTTCCTTTCTTAACAGCCCAATGATTATTTTCTTATCTCATGAAAGGCCGGCAGCATTCACACAGTAGACCCTCCCTTGGTTTCCCAGGTCCAGCTAGTGCGCACCAAATGCGAGGCAGGGTCCTGTGTAGAGGACATGGCTTGTGGGCAGTGGGAGGAAGCGTGAGGAAATCAGGTCCTCTTCAGCCTGTAGATGCTGGTTCATTTCCTCACGCCCTCCCCAGTGCACAGCGTTCATTTATTGAACACTTACCATGTTCAAGGCACTGTGCTCAGTGCCCGACATGCACTATCCCACTTCACCACCACCATAATCCAATGATACTCTAAGTGAAGAAACGGATTCTAAGAAATTCCAAACGATTAGTTCCTTGCATCCAGGTAGGATATGGCTGGCTCCAAAGTCTATGTTAATGCCACTGTACTACCAGTTGTGTAGCTTTGGATATAAAATTTACGTTTCTATCATTATATAGTCTTCCACTCCAGCTCCCTCCCTCACCCCACCTTGACAACCATTCCCGGTTGCAGCTGTGTTTTGTAAGATGCAGGAGGTATGCATGTTATTAAACTGGTTTGCATTTCTCTTGTTCACCTGTCTTTTACTATAAGGAGGACTCAGCCAAGGACCTAGAAGGGAAAGGGAAAATCATTTTTCCTCTCCTCGTTCCTTAGTAGTGCCTTCCAGTACGAATTCCTCCTTTCCTTTCTGAGACACACAGCATGGTTATTTTAAATTCTGGGTCTGTCTGTTTCCAGAAATTCTGTTTCCTATGGTGTGTGTCCTTCAGTGTGCTGTCTTCCTTTACGGTCTTCAGAGTATTGTTATTTTGGCGCCTGCCATCTTGTTCTCTGGGCAATGGCCACTCTCTGGTGCTGTGTGTTGGGTAAGCGCTGAAGGCCGGGCCCTGGTAGGTGTGTATTTCAGGGGAGGGCCCTCAGGGAGAGCCCCAGACATTGCCTAACCCCCGGGGACCATCCGTGTTTGCTGCCACGTCACCAGGGGACGCCCCTGACCACGGCTTCGCATTTAAACTGCTAGGAAACCATGGCACCGGGAGAATATTGCTGGGCCATCCATGTGGGGGATTGAGAATGGAGGTTTGTTATAGGGATCGTCAGAGTGTGACTGGTCAATCTGCAAGTCTGTGCCTGCACTGGGCACCAGGGTAGGGCTTTTACAATGTCCCTCCTCCCTCTGCCCCCTCCAGCCATCCTCCACCCCAGGCTCCACCCCCCTTCCAGCCTCATCCCTGCCTCTGTCCCATCCCCATCTTGGGCATCCTTCAGACTCCTCAGGGATTTCTCCCAGCTTTTAAACAAAAAAATGCTTCCAATTCATGCTTTACTTTTTTTTTCTGGTGCTTTCTGGGTTGATTTGGGAAGAAGCGTTCAAACAAACAGCCCTAGTGCCAAGTAAAAAAAAGGGGGGGTGGGTTTGACATGATAAAAATTTCCATGCAAATTCTATGGATGCCCATTACCAACAAAATTCTGAGACCTCCCAAAAAAGCAGAGGCGGTCGCTTATGTAAATTGTTGGCTTTGTGGCTTATTATTTGTTATTGACATAAGAAGACTGCGAGCACAGAATGTTTTTCCAACTGTTCCAGCGTGTGCGAAGGCGAAAGCTGACAGTGAATGCCAGGGGCGGGGTGACAGGTGATGCCAGGGTTTGCTCCTTGAGAATCACAGGCGACCGATAGCGCACTGTGTCTTCCCCGTGCAAACACTGAACCCTGCCTCCGGGAGGCTGCACCTCGCCTTGCTAGCTTTGTTCCCTGCATGACATCCTAGACACAAGGCCGCCCCTGGAACGGTGACAATGGAGAGACAGCAAAACACCCAGTCAGTGCTCAGTGCTGTTCTTCTGAGAAATTCCGTCAGGCTCCACACCCTTTCCCCTACTTTCCTCAGGACCTTTCCCTTAATTAGATAACAATCTATTACCTATAAGCCTCAGACGCCTCCCTCACAAAACTGTGGGTCTGAATGTCGCCCCAGGCAATCAGAAAAGGCAAGTCCTGCCAAGTGAGAGGTTGGTTAACCACTAACCGAACCCCGGCCCCAGCACCAACGTCTGCTCTTCCCTCCCACAGCAGAATCTGCAAGTGAGTGCAGGAAAGAGCCGGATAGGGAGGTGCAGCGGTGAGAGCCCGGCCTGCTGAGGGGCCCCGATGTGTGGTGGCAAATGCAGAGCGAATCAGTCACTGCGTGTTGTGTTTTTCTTCAGCCACG